TTCAGAAATAGATATATTTTAGACATGTATAACAATTTTACATGAAAATATAAGTAAAAAATATAAAAATACAGAATTTTGTTTCCGAGATAAACAAGAAAATATTGGGAAATAATATTACAAATTACGTTTTCAATTTTAATTTTAATTTTTTTCACGCAGAATTATATTTTTTTATATTTATTTTATACTATACAAAATGATGCTGTGTAATTAAGAATATTTATAATTTACAAATAATATATATTAATATAATGTGAAAATATGTATATAACATAAAGTATTATTAATATATGTAAGTACTTATAAAAAGTTTAATTATATATATATGAATTATATTATAAATATAAAGATACATATATACGTATATATGAAGAACATGTTAAGAATTCGAGAATTAATATTATATATATAATTACATTTTTATTAATTATTTAAAAGTTTTGCGTAAATATTCGAGAAATATTTGGAAGAAATGCGAAAAGATCTTTTAAATTCATAATCGCAGTATAGAAAACGTTATCGGTAGTTCCGAAAGTCCTATTTCCAAAATGTTTGTCTTTATTTGCTAAGGTGTCATTAAAATTCTCCTCGGAATCATTTATAAATTCTTCTACGGATTCCATATGATTTTGTAACCTTGGCATTTCTTTTTGTAATATTTTTTTATCACTTTTGGAAATATTATTTAATGGTATACTTTTATTTTTTGTTTCATTTTTTACAGAAGAAGCTTCGTTATTATACAAATTGTTCTTCTTACATGCTTTTATGAAATCTTTAAACAGATTATCGCGATTTTTTGTTTCAGGTTGTAAATAATTTACTCTTTTTATCTCTATCATATTTTCTTCTTCTTTATCAATATTGTTATTTAAATAATGTCTCTTAGTACGTTTGTTTTCGTGATCTTCAGCTAGAATGGATTTGTATGGTTGTGATTGCCTTGTAACCTTATAAAAAAACAAAATAAGAGTATTAAAATATAATAATAATATTAATAATGTAAATAATTGCATTTACTAATAAAATTTTATAAGTATAAAATAATAATAAGAGTTCCTAAAAAGTTAAAAATAATATAGATACATCAAAGTCAATTTTCTTTTTCAATAAATTTCTATTGCATTAAAATAACTCACCTCGCGTTTTATTTCAGCTACATCTTCATTGACCTCACTTTTGATTTGTCTTTGTTGCCTTATCTTTACATTGCTCCAAGGCAACAATAAAAACATTTCACGTTTAGGTTCTACTTGATTCTTTATTTTTAAAAATTTATTGATTTCGTCGTTCGTGATTTTATATTGCTCATCTTTTTCTGATTCGATTTCACTGTCTTTTGCAGTAATATCTTGCTCATTTTCGTTTATATAATTCTCTTCGTCTAAAAAAATTTCACTGTTTTCACTTTGCAGATTTGAAGGATCTTCATATTCAAATTCCTCTGATGTTTTGTCATTTAAATATTCGGTTATTATTGAATTTAGAATTATCTCTAATACATACTGATCGTCCCATTGTAGAATTTCAAAAAGTTCCATTGAATCATCATTATTCTTCGTATCTAGTATTTCGAAAATATTTTTTATTTCAATCGGCGTAAGTGTAACATAATTTAAGTCATATTCTTTTCGATTTTGTTGATTAACTTTAAAATTTTTTTGTGAAGAAATTAAGTAATTTTTTAATTTTGGGAACAAATCAGCATTTGATGATCTACCATTTTTTGTTAGCAAATAAATTTTCATTGGTTGTTTGTCAAATATCTTCTTTATGGAATCTTCCTTCAAATAGGCTTGGATATTGTTTAAATCTTTTATCGTATTTTCAGGTAGCCTAAAAACAGAAAAACTATCAAATTACTGCTAATAAAAATAAGAATTAAAAAAATTAAGAATAAATTTTTCAGCTAATCGTAAATTTTTCCATAAATAAAGGACTAAAAAGATAAAATACGTTACAGAAAAGAAGGTGCTAATCGGTCTGTACATGTGCACGTTTGTTTTCCAAGATTTCTCCGAAACCGTAAATTTTTTTCTCCAAGTTCTTTTTTGTTAGGATTATTCTTAATGATATTTTCAACATGTTCAACTGTTTTATTATTGTTAAACATTGTAATATTCAAATTTTCCGCTTTATCATTTGAATTAGAGTAAGATTTATTAATTTTTTCATGCTTTATCATTTCAATGTTTTCAGTTTTTTTAGTTTTTACAACATCTTCAGCATTTTCATTTGTTTCCGAATTCATTATGTCTTTTTTTCTGTTATTGGAACTGTCAAATTCCGTATTTTCTATGTTTCTTTCAATTTCAAAACTTCTTATAAATTTTGTTTTATTTATTGCAAACATCGAATTCAAATTATCTTTATCTGTTTTAAGATTTTTATGCATATCGTTTAATTTATCTGCTTCTTTATTGCTAGCTTGATTGACATCTCTTTGATAAAGAGAAATTAACAATTCTTGTACAAGTGCTGCAAGTTTTTTTGATAGATTATATTGTTTTTGCTTATCTAGAACGTGTAAACTATTAGAATGTTCTTGATTATAATAGTCCTTGATTGGCAACTTTTCTATGTATTCTTGTGATTTAGAAACTTGATGTTGGGATTTGCTAGATTTTAATTTTGTAAGAATTTCATGAATATCTCTTAATGTCCATCTTGGATATTGAATTTGAGATTTAATTTTTGATTGGTATTTCGGAAGTTTTACGTCGTCCTGCTGTAAAATTGGTTCACCACCATAATATGTCGACGGGTCAATTATGAAGACTTTTTGATCAAAAAGTCTAGAGGCAGTTTCTGTTGATCCTTGTTCATCTTCAATTGTATTTGAGGAATATCGACAATCTTGATTGTCTTCACGATCGAAGAATTCCGATGATTTAGACGTTTCTACTAGTTCTTCATCATCATCGATTAAGTTTCGAAGAACCTGGTAATATTTGTTATATTCCGGATAATGTACTTTCTTTGTTTCTTCAGGTAAATATATTTGATCTATAATATTCTTATATTGTTTAGGAATAAGCATGATAAGAATTAAACAACTTTCATTATCATCTTCATAGGTAACATCGTCATCTTTGTAGGTAACATCGTCATCTAGCAGAATTCCAATAAACTTTGGATCGATCAATTGAAAATCATCACTGCCACGAAGTCTTTCCCATGCTTCTCTTCTCTTCAAATTTCTTTTCTCTTCGTCAGCAATTTTCATTAGCTCATTTTGATTTTGTTGCAACAATTTCTCCCGTCTTGCATATAATTTTTCTTTCAGTTTATCAATGCGTTCTGTGCGTTTAGTAAAACTTTTTTCGTATTTAGTAAGTCCTTCTAACGATGTTCGAGGAAGATTTTGCAGTATATTCTTTAATTTTCTCGTGTTAGCATCTTTCCCCAATTGCATCCAAACAGATTCACTGTTCTGATTGTCTTCTGTATTTTGTAATAACTTTGATTTTGTTATTGATTCATTCGATTTTGTGTTATCGATTGCAGTATTTGCTGCTCGCTTTAATAAAATTGTTTTCGTTGTTACTTGCTCGACAATTCCTTTTGTTGTTTCTTTGAGAAAATTGGTTGACTTCAATTCAATTTCACAATCATTGTTGTGCCCCTTTTTGTTTTTCTGATCTTCGGTGATTGTTGGATAGATTGAATTGTCGGATTTTTTCTTTTTGTTGATGAGTTCTTGTACTTTTTCGTTATGTAAGGTTGTTTTTTGGGCGTCGCTAGTAGTCGAGATAATACATTTTTCCCGAGGATCCTTATTTTCTGAAGAAATTTTAGAAATAATTTGGAAAGAATCGTACGTTTTTGTCTTGTTTTCTGATTGGATGTCTGGTAATTGGGTACGAAAAAACATTTTTTTTGTGATATATTTAACACTATTATTATTTGGAGGAAGTTTTGAATCTGAGTCCACAGGTAATAGATTAGTAATAGATTTCTTCTCCTTATGATATTGTTTAGAAACATTGTCCAGTCCTAATATTGAAGTTACATCAATCGCTTCCGTTGTCTCGCTCAGTTTATGATCCAATGTTCTTAATTCTGTGATTACAGATTTCGTAGTTGTATCAGTTTCTTCATAATCAGGGTCAATTTCGCTTGTACTTGAAAGTATTTCTCCTGCCATAATTTTTTGGTATTCTTCTTCTGCAAGATCATTCTGGAATTGTGCTACGTTTGCACTCATATTTTTATTTTCTGAAGAAGTATCTATAACTTTTGTTATAGGTATAACTGAAATATTACGTTTTTTCGGCGAATCAGAATCTCGAATGACTCTACAATGACAATCTTTTGCGTTTTCTTCATCTTCTTGAATCATTTCTTCAACAAAAAGCTTTCGAAGCTTTTCCCAATTGTCTCTTTTATTTCTTTTATTATGAAAAATTTTATTATAAATAGAATGTTCTGCATATGTATTAGGTGTAGAATATTCACTTGCTTTTGTATGAATATTATCATTACTGTCTATATTTTTATCAAAGCCATTTTTATCTTTTAATATATCGTAATGCTTACTTGAAGTTTGATAATTGTCGTTATAATTATATCTGACAGTAGAAGCTTCAGAAGATGGATAAAAAGAATTTGTAAATTTTGATTCTGGTTCCATTTGCAATTTCGCTCCTTTAAGTTCTACGTTTGATTCTTGATAATTAATATTGGAATTTGGTATTTTAAGAAATTGATCAAAAGACGTCGAAGGATATCTCGAAACTGATTGTAATGTATCCTGATTATATTCCTGTTTTTTTAAATCATCGTAATGATGAACTAATCGTTGAATTCTCGTTTCTTTAATATGCCTTTTGTTTTCTTTATTAAGTGGTTGTTTTTGAATAACTTCTGTAATAGCAATTTTATTATCATTATCATTATTATTGGTATTATGTACTTTAGAAAGAAATTCTGCTTCTCCTAGATCATCATAATTTTTGGAGTTTTCTTTTATTTTCATATTAGATAATTTTATATTTTCAAAAAATTTATTTGGCATGTAATCGCAATGATCATCTTTAATTTCTTCAATCCAAGTATTATCTTTTGCATAGTCTAATTCCGATTTTTGACTGTGTTGTGTATTCTTTTTTGAACTGTCATTACAATCGTTTTTATCTTTAACATAATCGTAACCTTCATCATTTTGCTCTAACGAATCCTCTGCAGTCACAAAAATGTCACCCTCAGGAAATCCTTTGACAGGATCTCGCCGAAAGAAGTCATGAAAATTATTTTCGTTGCTATCAGTTCTTGGATTAAATGGCCGCAACAATTCTCTTCTGATATCGTCTTTCAGCTTCATCTTTCTTTCATTTACGTAATTTGTCAAATCATCTCTTGAATGTTTCTCGGATGCACTATCTCTTCTCAGATCTATCTCAACCAATTCTTTAATGTCCCTCTTTATCCTTTCAGGTCCTTGTATTAAATTTTGATATTTTTCCATATCACCAATTTTAGAGTGCTTTCTATAGATATTATTATTTTTTATTTTATTATATTCTTGGACTACATGTTGATTATCAATATGACGGTTAGCATTTTCAAAAGCATTGCTTTTGAAACGTCTTGTAACAGGATCTTGTTGAAGGTGATTGTTATATTTATTTTTATTATTAATAAAATTCGTTTTTAAATTATCAATATTATCACTATTTTTCTGTTTTATTTTCTGTAACTTCTGTTTAATTGCATAATCTTTTAAGTTATTTATTCGTGAGCGTTTTTCAAGTATATTATTTTTTTGAGAATTTTCCGATTTTTTATCCAAATGTCTTCTAAATTTTTTTTGTTCTATTAAATATTCATGAACTTGATTATTTTTGTTGTCGTTTGTTGAGTCGTTGTATTCTAATAAATTATATAGTTTATTGAAATATTTTTTTATTTTTGTTATTATATTTGTCTTTATTTCAACTGAGTTTTCTAATTCGCTTAAATATTCTTTTAATTTTTTATTTATTTTAATTATTGACTCTTCTTCTCTTTCATTCTTTGTTTTGTCTTCAATTTCGCTCGTATCTGGTTCCTTTGAAGTAATTTTATAAAGGATAAAAGCATCAATCTTTGATATTAATGTTACAACATTATCAATATTTTCGATTTCTAATTTGAAATATTGAATATTTCTGGTTTCCATTACGGTCTTCTTCTCTAATAAAATCCTTTTATACTTTTTTAATAAATCCTGAATGTTTTTAAACTTGTCATTAATTTCCGTTCTTTTAAAATTTTTTTTATCTAAATCTTGTTCTTCCTCAGATGAATTTTCTTGTTTTCTCAAATTGATTGTGAATGATCTTTGCGAGGATTCATTTTTATCTGTCTTTTGTAGCCTTTTTTGTAAAATTTTTTTTATTTTTTCAAATAATTTAGAATTCCAGACTCTCTGTTGACTTTCATTTTTTATATTTTTTACGTTTTCTTGTTTTTTGCTATCTTGTTTATCGTAAATCTTTTTATTTTTTAAATTTAACTGATTTATATCTTCTTCTTCTTGATTGGATTGTTGGATACTATTTTCATGCCGTTTCGATAATTTCTTTACTGTATTGTTCTCGATTATTTCCTCTTCAGAGCAAGTGCAAGCTTTTACCTGTTAAATTAATACTTTCTTGAATTATCGACGTATTGTTAAAGATGTACATACATACATAAGCGAAATAGTTATTGGTAATCTTAATTACCTTTGCACTGGGTATAATCCAGAAACCTATACCGCCAGAAGGCAGTTCTAGTTCAAGGCCGTCAGGATTGATAATAATTTCTGGATAGATATTAGGCAAGTTTTTGTCATTTATTAAATTAAGTGGTTTATTATTTAATAAAACTTTCCTGAAAAAATTATGATTTTTATAACTTAGAAATAAATTTGTTACTACAATTTATCCACTACACAGTGTATAATTAAAATATGAATATTGCATTGCATACTTTATTAAAAATAATAAAAGTTATATGTGTATACATATATATGAAAAAACATATCGTTATTTATACGTTATCTACATTTATATTAATATATTGAATAAAATATTTTGTGTAGCACTTTTATTTTTTATATAATATTGGTAGGATAAATGATTTTTTATACAAATATATTTGTGAATTACAAAATTACTTACTCTGAAAACATTTTATTGGTAGTTTCAAACTCTGGTAATAAAATATACTTGTGAAGAATTTTTATTTTAAGACCTTTTAGATTAGTAGTCACTGTTTCCGGTGTCAAATTTATACCGAAAATCGTAACAGCTCCTTTGCTGTACAGCGCTGAGGGCTTTGTGCAATGACTATAAAAGTGCACATAATTTTCATTGTTGGATTGAAGCTTTATCTCCAAAACTTCACGGCCTACTAAGGTCTTATACAATAATGATACCCAATAAGCCTGATAAAAAAAATAATAATATTCATATTAATTAATAAAATGTTTCTTTATATTTTATTATATTAATTAAAATTTATTTACATTTAAACAAAATTTACATATCTACAATAATGAATGACTTACAGGGGTTGCTTGAGACAAGTTTGTTAATTGTCTCATCACAACTTGTATACCAAGCTTTGCAGCATCTCCAAGTCTTCTCATCCAGATAAGCGCTCCTAGATATTGATGTTTATTCTCTTGTGATTTTGATTCCGCTACAACAATATATGTATATATAAAACATCAATGTAACAAATAATCATTCAAATATAAGATATCCATAAATAAATTCTTAATTATATTAATTTAGTTTAATTTAATCAACAAAATTAAATAAATTTAATTTAATTGATTAAATTTTTTCAAATATTATTATTTTATTTATAATTTTATAATATTCTTACCAATCCATAATGGTTTTTTTTCTGCGCTATTGATTATTTTAAACAGCTCATTCTTTTCGGCAATCATGTTATCATAATATATGGAAATGCTGTTATTGTTTAAAGAGACGATATCTAAATTGCTGAAATTATTAATAGAATTAAATTAATAAGTAATAATTAAATAATATTAAATTTATCGAAAGGTTCAACTCTTATCTTAATATGATATTTATGATTTCATTATGTATTTTTTAGGAAGTTCTCCATATTGTTATAATATTTTATTTGAATAAAATGTAAGCTGTTAATTATAATTTTATCTACACATATAATTATAATTTGATATACATACATATGCATATTATAAGGATTATACAGGAAAAAATAAAATAGTTTTCGTATTGATTTAATTAATTTTTTTAATTAAATCTTTTATAATTAACATTTACATAAAAAGCAAAACACTTACGGATGCCATGTAATCGCAGAAAGCGCAGCACTTGCCGAATGTAAATAATCCTGAAGGTATTTCTGTTGATATGCCATTCTATATGCTACAATGTCTGGTCCCGTGATTAAACTATTGGAATATCTTGGGAAAGTTTTCAGTATTTCGTGGAAGTTGGCAACGTATCGCCCTAGTTCTTCGCCAGATAAGTCGCATCTCGTTTGGCATTCTACAGCAAAAGTATTTGAAAGTGACTTAAAATTAAATATTTTAAATATTTAATGAAATGTAAATATTTAACGAATATGCATTTTAAGACAATTTAAAATTAAATATATTTTAAAACAGTATTATTTTTTAAATATTTTGTAACAATTAAAATATGCGGTTTTAAATATTAGATACTTTACTTTCATCTAATTTCATTTGTTACTGTTTTAAAAAGATACAGTTTTTGAAAAGCTTACCATAGCCCAACTGCCAACTGATGTTGTAACCCATACGATCACTGAAAGAGAGAAGTTCTGCTATGTTCCTAGGATCCGTGGAATCCGTTTTAAATTCTTTATCAATATAGTGAGGAGTGATGCATGCGATTACATCTAATCCGGTGTTTTTTGCCCATTGATAAATAAGTGTCCATTGCGTTCCTATTAAATTACAATACATTCTCTTAAATTTGTATACATTTTATGTCAAAATATGTTTTGGTAAAATATGTGTCAGGTAAAAATATTTAAAAATAAATAAATTTTTAGTCAGCCTATTTTTATATCTTTTTATACAGAATGTTCCAAAAAATTATCTAACATTTTATGTGTAGTTATATTTCAGATAAGGAGGGCAATTCATTGTGCATTTTATATGTCTCGCCTTTCCAATCTGAATAAATATTCGACAGCTGATACGCTATCAGCGAATACAATAATCTAAATATTACATTACTGAATATTAACGCTTTCGCAATTCGTACTATTATCTCAAAGCTTATACCGACGTCATATTATAACATTCATTAAGCGCTCCTGCCATCAAAGCTAATGGACGCGCATGTAACTATTGGCAACCACAATATAAATTATAACGACATTAACATTATGTAATTGCATCATCCTCTTCCATTGACACGGTCCTTGCAATCCTTTCAATATATGCACTCATAGCGGTCAGACTCGGTATACTATCATGGAACTGTCATATGAGTGACATGCTAATATGTAAAGGCACATTTTAATAATTAAACCAAAGGATTTAAGAAGTCTAGTTATTGTTGATTAAACTTTGAATTTGCATTATTTATTTATTAAACATTTTTGCTTGTAGATTTTACCTAAAATCTACAAGCAAAGAAAAAGAGAAGGAGAGACATTATTTAATGTTATATTATATTACCAAAATGCATGTCATTTCGATCCGTATTAATCTCGTGCGAATATACTTGTCCAAAATTGTAAAAATTGCTTTGTGGTCCTCCAAGACGAATATAAGCAGGTGTCAAACCTCGCGCCAAATTCATGCTTTTCTCGATATTTTTGCTGAACAATTAATACAAAATATAATAGTATACATTTTTCTTACGTAAACAGACAATATAAAAGAAAATAATTTCTTTTAAACTAAAGAAAGATAAATTGTATTAAATAAAATTAAAGCTTGATTATTATAATTGCATCATTATAATTGCGTTATAATTTTTTAATAATATTAAAATGTAATAAAAATTATAATAGCTAATAAAAGATTCCAATAAAACATTGATAAACCCCTTACTAAAAAAAAATGTTGTTATTACTGTCATATTAATTCTTTAAGAATTGTAAAGTTAATTATTTTTAATTAATATTTTATTTATATTTATCGATATTCTTTTCCTTTTTTTTTTTAATACTTACATAAAGTCATTGTACTGCAACGTTGCCGGATCCAGAGTGAAACTGAGAAATGCGCGATCAGTTACTGCAATCGGTTTCTTGACATTTATATTAAGTATTAAATTTTCCGCGAGACAATTTGAAATAAAAAAAATTACTTGCAAAAGCAAGCAAACATATTGTCGATGATATTTCATTTCTTCAGAAGTGTGTATTTCGTTTGATTTTTACAATTCTCATTCTTTATTTTATTATATATATATATATATTAATTCTCTTTCCTTCCTCTCGAAATAATTGAAAATTTTCTAGTTCTTTTTTACATGAATAAATTTTATGATGTAATCAATTAAAAAAGAATTTACATAAAAAATATCGAATTTTGACAATATTAGAAATTGTATAAAAATATCAAAAAATATATGAAAATTTTAAAGTATATTTATAAAAATGTCACGTTATGTGCGTAAAAAATCGACACAACAAACTGAAACACCTTTTCACATGTACTGAAATTTCGCATTTACTAAGTCGTGTACATGGTTCTGAAATCGTGTCACAATAAAATTGCTTAGCGCATGTTTCGAAATTGGAATTTAATTACGTAAACAAAATCAATAATGTGCACACAGCAATAATGTTGGGCTATGTTTTGATGAAATTCTTAAATTCGTACACGGTATCTTTATTAACATACATCTAATGTTAATGAATTATTATTTAAGATTTAACAAAATTATCATTTTATTTTGTTACATTATTCGAATCTCTTTTGAAAAAATTCTTATAAACTTACACATATCTTGCGAATATTAATTTAATAATTAATGTTTCAATAAATATACATTTATATTAAATAACGTAATAGTAACAAAAAATCTAAGTGCAGTTCTAAATCGTGCAATTAATAATATATATGTTGCAAAAGTTAGTGTCAAAGTTAAAAAAGAAGTGTTAATCATTGCAGTCTTCTTAAAATTTTTTCAACGATCGTTGAAAAATAAAAAAACAATTTTTTAAGAAAAAAGTTTTAATTTTTCTATTAAAAATGGGGTTTTATCAAGGAAATATTCGGTATGATTGATAAAAAAGTCAAATATTTGGTTATTTTTGCTTTTTATTAATTTTCAACAAATATCTCGGATTAAGTCATCACTAGAAAAAAACAAACACAAATTTTACTCGAGCAGTAAGCGTCTCCTCTACTGGAATACATTTTCGTCGAGACACCCTGTATATCCTGCGAGAGTGTATACTTGTGTGGGTGAATGTTGGGTGGTCACTTAATTTCTAAGATTTTTTTTTATATAATATATATAATATATATATCTAACAACAATATAATATTATCATCATCATTCGCCTCTTTCTCTTTCTTTTTTTTTTACTTTGTTAATGTTACATAATACATTATTATATTCAACAATAAACTCATTTTGTATCATTCCTTTATCGATTAGGTTAGCCGCTACGCACTGCTATTTTTTTTTATACAAGGGTTTTATTCCTCCGCCATATACCGTCATTTTTGCTTTGCTTTCTTTGTTCACACGAGCTTCCTGTTCTTTCTTCAGCGTTCTGTTTTTCGTCTGCCACAAAACGTCCTCCGATTCGAGGATTCTAGAATCCCTTTCCATAAAGCACAGTACATGTTTAACAAATTATAAGAAAAATAAGTGATCTGACAATTAAATCCGTTTACATACAACTTATTCTAATACATACAACGCATTTCGTCCAAATTAATACTACGCCTTTCAAAATAAGATTTTCTCCTGTATAATATTTATATCAGTTATATGATGTAACTATTATATGTTAGCGATTCTTCAATTGAAATTAAAGATACCTGAAAAATTGAGGCGCACATGTATGATATCTTAGCGTATTTTTTATTTTTAATGTGCTTAGAAAAAAATATATTTACAAACTTAATTGTCAGATTAAGTAAAATAAAAATTGAATTCTAAAAAATTCTAAGGAAAATATAAATAAATATATTATTTACAGATTTTTAACATAAAATTCATAATTCGAGAGAGAGAGATGTTGGAAATTAGGAATACAAAATCTTAATTAATTAATATTTAAATATGTAGCCAAGATTCATATATTCCTTAGGATATATTTGATTTTTGATTTAATGATAAAAATTAATAATCAAGAGACAAAGATACAAAGAAAAAATTCAAATGTTTAAATTTAGCAAAGCACGAACTTACGAATCAAAGAGTTTGTTTATAAGTTTCAAGATTCCAAACAATCTTCAGATCATTCACGACCTTCCATTCATTTTCCGAGCAAGCTTCGTGCGATTCTCGTTCATTCTTTCTCACATTCCACATTCGGTGTGTTACTAAATTCCACAAACAATTTTATTCTAAATCGTTCTTAATTTAAGGACATCTCTTCGCAGATATCTGGCTGTAAAAGAAAAATAAGCTCAGACTTATTTTTAAATTATCATAAATCTCTTAGATTAGATTAAAATCCAATTAATTCTTTTGTTTTTATAATCATCCTTTTCAACTGATCTCTTCATTACATTCTGAAATGCTTATCTTTGTTTTATAAAGATATTCCAAATCTGCGAAAAGTTGTCATATAAGTTTTCAAATTTTTCGCTGTTAATCCTAGAACCCTAATTATTTCTGATAATATAAAATATAATTTTTTAAATATTATTTTTATTTGATACTTATTATCTGTTAAAATATTTATTAAAACAGAATTAATTTTTTAAATTGCATTTACAATAAAATGTTTAATTATTTTATGTAAATTAAAATTAGTGGACTTTTATATTAAGGTTCCAGGATTAAATTGATTGTAATTTACTTAAACACTCGTTCGATAATAGTAATTGTAGGCAACAGTATTGCTTCTTGGTTTAACGAAATCACGAAGAGTCTGGTCCGCAACAATATCGAACGTACGCTATCGTCAAGAACAAATATGACGATTAATATAAAATAAAATAAAAAAAAATATATATATATATT